CGCTTGCACACGGCGATGGGAAGCGCTATATCCGTCACTCATGACTCCCAAAGACAAGTTGGACAACCTCTCAGGACCGCTTCCCAGGCTTGCACACATCATACGTGTGCTTCACATGCTTGTAAAGAGCGGATGACATTAGAATTTTCCTCATGTCCCAAATTATTGACCCGAAACTTTTTATATGTTCACATTCTGTGTGTTGGTTGGTTAGCTCAGTGGTAGCGTGCTGCCGTGGAAACCGAAAGGTCGAGGGTTCGTATCCCACTGCCCCCCCGTTTTTAACAGAGTAGTTAAGAATTACTTGAATGTTAGATAGTAGCTGAAACCTTTTTATGAAAATGAGTCGTTCTTTGAATAGGGATTTTAGATATTGCTTGAACATCCACGAAAGTCGACCATCTGTTGACATATCGTTTACTTTTTGTGTTAAATTCGACGATGTACATCGTATTTCTGAGTTTATTTTCGACGATCGAGATCGTCCCGATTTGAAGCACGGCCTGGGTGCGTCGGACGTCGTCCAACTTCGCTCCTGTATGGTAGCAATAGAATATAAGCTATAGACTTCGAAAGTGGATGAAACGAAGCGGAGATTACTTGCGAATACGAAGTAGATCGAAGCAGTGGAATTACTTCTATAGCAGAAGAACTGAGAGGCATCGGGGACGGACTTCGAAATGCCGCCCTTGCCTTGTGCTCAAAATGACATTTCATTCTTATCCGGATTTCCGGAAATAGGCAGTCCCCATATTATAATTCCGGTAACTCACATTTTGTATATTTATTCAGAAACTAGTTGACGAATTTGATTTTTGGGCCGAAGATATCATTTTCGGTCGTTTTGTCAAATAGAAACTTTGTTCAGAATTCCTTGATACATCATTGGGGCTTTGTTTCGTCAATTTTGACCAAAAATTCAGTTATTGGGATCACCGTAAAGTCAAATGTCGGCACTAATATGGAACAGAGGTAGCAAAAAATTCAATTTGCATGAATTCCGCGCGATATTTTCACCAAAACCCGCACAATCAAAATCGAGAGTCGTCAACACAACTGAAATGTCGTGAAGTAATACTCGGTCCTGAAGGCGAGGCCCTTCTCAAGCACGGCACAGCTCCCTGCTGAAAGCCACGTCTCTTCGGCGAATTATGCTTGATTGCGCATCCTAAAAATACTCCAGTAGTACCAAAGAATTTGATGGGATCGTCCAATTCGACGGAATTTACGTATGGTTAACATTGGAAATCCGACACTTTAATCCGACAATGATGTGATTGGTCAAAGTGCAGCCAATAGAGATATTTTCAGCACTTCATCTTCCTGTGCACTCTGGGCTGGACGCTGCGCGTCGACTAGCTTCGCTCGTGAGGAGCTTCGCTCCTGGTCGCTGCGCTCCGAGTAAGTATTTACAATGCATTCAATCTCTTCCTACGGCGAACCTCCTTAAGAAGACGGGCGTAGGACTTCGTGAACCCTGCATAAGCCGCATCGAACTGCTCAAAGGAGGAATACCTTGAGAACGCCCCAGCCAAGGTGAGACGCTCTGAATACCTCTTCCGATCGTTTCGAATCATTTCGCTTGTGTAGTCTTTCAAGGCACAGACCAATCCTGCACCTGGGTCGGCGACGAACCATTGCTGCCACGCTTGAAGGCCCGATCGTGCCGTTGGAATTGTCTTCTGTGCAATGAAAGCATCCTTTGTCAGTTGTCTTGTAGGAGCCTTCTCTGCCACTTCAGAACTCTGTCTCTGCTGTAGGCTTCTCGCCACTGCTGCCCCAAGGTCATCAATTGAGAACGGAAGCCCAGAAGCCAAAGCGATGCCACCGTGCCAATTCTGTGAGCCCCCTGTACGTAGCAGATTTCGTGGGTTGATCTCATTGCTAATGCTCTGCGTGACGAGGTACTCACAGCATGTCTTTGCATCTGCCCAACGACACCAGGCCATCAGCTCGCGGAAGTTGAATCGACGTTCCGTGGACTCGAACACCCGGTAGAAAGCACCACCGCGACGGAGACTGTGAAGTGTGATTCCAATTGGTAGGTTCGGGGTGACTTCAGCAACCTCAGCAAGCAGTTTCCTCAGCGTGGCTTGTTCAAGCGGCCGCTGCCAGTCAACTCGTGGAACTCCGCCGTCCAGGAGTACAAAGTTTGGGAACACAAATGCAGAGCTGACAAGATTCACACCAGAGGCTCGCAAGGACGCCAGGTACTCATCGTAGAAGGCACAAACCCGCAAACAAGGGTACGACTTTTCGTCGACAAGGTGGTAGATCTGACAATCTTCTTCAACGTTGGCTTTCTTGTGCCACCGCAGACGAATGGACAGGTACCGACCGCTGCTATCGGACCCGAGTTGGACGTCGTTGACCCGCAGGTTCAGAACTTCACTGATTCTGAAGCACCCAAGGAAGCCAGCAGCTAGCAACAATCGAACGAGAGAGCCGACAAAAGGGTGGTAGCCCGACAGGCCGTTCATGAGTGTTGAGAGCTCCTGAGCCGTCAATGGGTAGGCCTTTTTTTCTTCGTCCACATTGTTCTGCTTATTGAACTTTTGTAGCCCAATAATGTACCGTCGGGCATCACTATTCTGCGCTGGGTTGGGTGACACGTTCTTGTCTTTGAAGAAGGCCACCAGTGCGGATTTCGCAAGGTCAATAGTTCGTGCTTTTCTGCCATTCGTGTATAAGTAATGGAAAAAGTCTGTACAATCCTCTGTGCCCGCTGATTCGGGTGTAATACCTGGTTTTTCTACCTGCAGATAGGACTCGAACTGCTTTTGGTATGTTGCATACGCTCGCCTTGTCGATGTACCACGGAAGGACTCTTCAATCGTCTGCTTCGACGCTGCAGGAACTGAGGACTTCGGCGGCATTTTCGACAATGATGGATATGAAACTGCTGACGCATTTTCCACCAATAACATCGTGTTATGTTGCTAAACTCTTGATATGTGCCTGACCGACATTGACATCGACCAATGCGATTCTTCATAGTTTCCCCATCCAATCAAATAATTCTCTCCTGTCGGTTGTCCAATCCCCTTGCCACAATTTGTCGGATACATGTCGTATGCCACTGACGTGTGGAATTATCATAATATCGACAATTCACAAAAAAGACAAAATCAACGAACCCTGCCCTGCGAAAAAGACGACTTGGTTCATTCAGCCATGGACCAATCCTCACGGCAGCGCCGACACCGACACGATCTGCGTACCACAGGACTGGGCGATGCCAGCAATAGACACCCGCGAAATGGCACCGTCGCTATCTACCGTCACAATTGACTCGATGCGGGAAGGTAGGTGCATGCTTCGTCCTTGGGAAAACACCATGCGACAGGTCGTCGTTTCCGCATCGGTGCGACGACGCAAATGGCAGAGCAGTGCTCCCAACGCACCGGACGATGTCCCCGTTGCAGCTTCTTCATCGATGCCATACAGTGGCGCAAAGTTGCGGCACTCGGCCGTGTACTCTGTGGGAACTCCCTTGGTGAGAACTTGAAAGGGGATCGAATAAGTACCTGGATTGTCGACGTCCAGCGTATACACGTGATACCCGATCGTGCTTAGCTCCTTGGAAACCTTCGCGATCAAATCCATGTTCGGCGTGAGCTTGTCAGCGAGGATCGTACGACTTCGCACGTGAACAAACACATCTGGCAGCCCCGTCGACGCAATTGTGATGGGGTACTGCGCTTCATCAATGTCGTCTGCGTCCAGCCCCAACGACTCTAGAACGGACGAAATCACTGTTGCACTTGGTGAGTAAAAGATCGGAAGGTCTTGGTCCATGGTGACACGACCAGTCGAGTCGGTGGACACGATCAGCGTCGATTTGATCGTGTGCATCGCGAATGTCGTGCTTGGTGGCATGGTCGAGAACGCCGCGATAGTCGCATGTCCGCAAAGGTCAACTTCCCCTTCAGGCGTAAAGAACCGAATGTACACGTTGTTCGAGTTGTCAGGCCGCCTGGATACAAACGCCGTCTCGGAGTACCCAACCACCTTGGCCACAGCTTGCATGACACGATCCGACGGAAACGATGCGACGTGCACCACACCCGCTTTGTTCCCACCTGGAGCACCCTTCCTCTCAACCAAGGAGTCGTACAGGCTCACCTCGAACTCCATCATGCGACCGTCATCCTGCAGCATTTGCCAACTTCGACTGAACGAATGTCAAACTCTGCGAATCGTGGTATCCGGACGACTGACCATTTATCCGGCATATCCCACTCGACGTGAAGGACTGTGGGGGGGGAGCTCGACCCGATGGCCGCGGGTGGCAATGGCCTGGTTGAGAGATGAACGCTGCGACATCGCATGACTTCGACGAACGCAACGGCGGATACGGAGGTTGGTGCGCTCGAGGTCTACTTTAGACCTCAAGGGTCGCTCAAATGGAGAGGTGAAGCCACGTGTGTCGTCGGAGGGGCGCTATGGCGTAGTCGATCTCGCAGGAGTTCACCGCCTACATCGAGCCGAATGGCAGTGACCAAGTGGCTATCGCAGAATCGGAGTCGACGAGGAACACTGCACATGGGTGACGATGTTTCGTCGACAGTTCAAGAAGATATGCGTCGTCGAAGTAAGGCTAATTGTAGCAGTTGCTTGGCCACAACGCCTGATTCGTCGGCGCTTCAACAGCTACCTCGACTTTCAGTCTCCATGCCTTCCGCCGCCACGACGCGCCGCCGGGTGTTCCGTCGTGTACCACCGCGACAGCCTCTGGTTCGCATGCGTTGCATGCATCACACTCGATATATGTATACAATCGTGAGCGATTACGTCTGTAAAACGAAGGATGAGGTGGTGAAAAGCCGCGTGCCCCTCGTTCATCGCTTGACAAATGTCCCGTGAACCCAGACGCGGTCCATGTTGGTGTTCGTCCGCCGATTTCGCAGCCGGACAGTACAGTAATCGTTCTCGACAACAGCAAACCCGCCATCCACAAACAGCGCCGCGACATCTTGGATCGAAAAGAACGTTGCCAATGTGCCGTCGCCGCGATAATAGACGTTGCCGAGGTTCTCGTCATGACATGGCGCACCAGCATGGACCTTCTTGGTCGATCGCATCATGGCCAAGTCGTAGAGCCCGTAGTCACGGAAACACACTACGCCACCGGGTCGGAGTGCTCGATACACTTTTTGCACGACCTGGGACAACGACGTCGGGGGAATCGCCGACAACACAAATACCATCAACACGACATCCATGGAGGTGGGGGGTACGCCCAAGTCATCCGCGCCGGTCACGATGTCGCACACGTACGCGCAGCATCGCGCGGGGTCGTAGAGTGGATTCGATTTGAGGATGTTGATTGCATGGGGGCTGAAGTCGACTACTCGCACGCGATGAAGGAGAGCGTCGATTGGGATTCACGTACACACATGGGCATGCATCGATGGACACTCTGCCAGGAGTGGGAAGATGGCACTGCCGTAGCCGCACCCAACTTCCAAAACTTTCGTCGCCGTCTACCCCGACGTGTTTAACGAATGCATCGCCGGGATGGTGAGATCAGCAAGACGTACAATGAGGTCTGGAAACTCCTTGGTCAGGTAATTGCGTGGCTTGTAGACCTTGCCTGATAACAGCAACGTTTTACGTGCACAAGCGTGTGAGAACCATCGGATACCGTTGTTCTTGGCGTGAAACGCGTCCCAGTGCTCCTGCGCCATCGTGCTGAGCTCTTCGCCAGTGTACTCTTCTACTCTGTCGGCTTCGCCTGCACACGCGAGTTGCGCGCGGCACATGACTGCGTGCTCGTTCCAGTCAAAGTCGTGCGCATGGAAGCTTCGGGCAGGTCGCATGTGAACCGGTGTGCCATTGGTGGATCGAACCATCGCACAGGAATCGATTTTGATTGGTAGATATGTTGCATGTAAACAAAGCAAATCAATCGAGTCTGGCATTATTCAAGTATTATCCAATCGTGTGCATCTATCTCATTCAAATTTAACCAATCCTATGCATTCATATTCATTCTAAGCGACACCGGGTGCCACTCCCCCCGGCCGAGTCGCGATTCCGCTGAAACGCAACGAGTAAGCAGCATCGGGACGATGGTGCGTCCAGGTCCTTGAGACGTCCATACGCCGCCTGTCGGGACAGTCCGGATTGGCTTCGAGGGGGGAAGGATGCGTACCGACGTGGAAGCCGACATGGCACGAATGGGCGTCCTCGAAGCCGAACGGTGGTCGGGTCGTTGCCGCTCCGAGTCTCCTCGAGACCGCCATCAGTGATTGCAAAGCTAAAAGTTATCAACACGACAACACCCACTATGTACAGCCCACACCCACGTCGGCAAACATGGGCATTGAGAAATGAAGGATCGGATTGGTTAAAAACAATGGAATGGATTGGCATGTAATGGCTTAATATATGGACCTGGTTGGTTAGAATTCTGCAAAATGATCCGTCTAGACCAATCAGATCGCCGGCGCAACGGGTGTAATTTTTTTTAATAATAGCCGATTTGCAACTGTACTTTGGAAAAGACAAAATGCCGCCGCCGCCGTTGGCAGACGGTCCATCGGCATCGCAAATGCAGTCTCTCGGAGGAGAATTCGCCATCCGTGGGGAAGATTTGCTCGCATGGAACCCTGTATTGGTGGACAACATGGCGAAGAAGGGCAAGTCGTTCAAGAGCGGGTGGGTCGAGTACGTTGTGTGCCTACATCAGAACATGCTGTATTACTACCGCGATATGCGCGATATCCCGAGCGGGTGCTTGTGCTTGGACGGGTGTGTCGTTGAAGCTGTCGATCGCATCTTCAAGAACATGAGCCCCGGCGACTCGCATATCCTTGCGGAAGAGTGTGGGCCATGCTTCAAGATCACGTCGCGAATGGGGCGGTCCCTACTCTTCCGCACCCGGAGCAAGGAGTCCCGCGTACAGTGGATTCACATGCTTCAAGACATGTCCTACGATACCCTCTACATGCGGATGCAGCAGGCTACCAAGGAACGACGCGAACTGTTGCAGCAAGTCCACGACACTAACGCCGCAGTCGCCGCGTTGCACAAAGAACTCGCAGTCGTTCGGGGGCAGTATGAGGCCGCCCTATTGGAAGCGGCATCATCTTCGCGGAGCAACAAGTCTGCCGTGCCGTCTCCACCGGCCATTGTGCTTGACTCCCCCGAAGTTGCCGCTGCCGTTGGAACTGCAAAGGCCGTTGTTGTGAAGCCTATTGCTACCGCTGATCCTTCCACCCGAGCCAGCAGCACCGGCAGCATCGCGACTGTTCCAAAGGTTGACCCACCTCCACCCGCTCCCCGCTCTGCTCCTTCGAATGCTCCACCGACTATCGACGCGGAGGCACTGACGAAAATGACGTCGGAGCTGGCGGGCATTGCGCGCAACTTGCAGCAATCGCTCTTTTCCCAGCCTTCCATATCGTCAACTGCGCCGCCAGCCGCCGCCACGGCTACAACAACGACCACAACAACGAAGGAAAGACCGGCAGACGGTACAACACCAGGCAAGATCGTGTTTCGTTGTATGATGCCCTGTCGTAGAAAAAACCAAGGCTGCGTCGCACCGAATGATGATGAGTGCCATGGAAAAGATCATTTTCGATCTGGAACTCGAAGACGAACTCCATCGGACCCGCATGCTTGCAGGCGGCAGGTCGTCGACCAATCCGCAAACAATTTCGTCGTCGGCGCCGCCGCTGTACCAGAGTTTTCTGACCAGCTCGTCCAACATGGTACCCCATCGCGACCCGCTCACGACCCCCATCGTTTTGTTGGCGGAATCGCCCTCGGCCTTTAGGCAACCGAAAGGCGAAGATGGAGGAGGTACTCGCCGAATAATGTAACAACCAACTCCCGTCCACATGACCGAACTGCTCCACGGCGCCATCATACGTTGTGAAGTGTCATCATGTTTTTGTTTCGCTGTAGACGACGCGGGGTGGTCGACACCAAAGCCTCAAGCCAAGGCCGCCCCGCCCGACTATGCTGTCGACGAAGTTCGTACGTTGCATCAGGTCGCGTCGCTGATATGGGGATCATCTAGTACGACGCGCGATCGGATGTGTCGTCGTTCTACCTGGGGGACAGACGTAAAAACAGCATCATCAGCGACATGGACGTCCAGCGCGGCGATACGTTGGCCTCGTTGCTCGTCCGCAGTGACATGGTGGTCGTCACGGCGCTGTTAAACACGTGCCAGCGCAGCGACAAGGTACCATGTCTTGGTCAAAACATTCATGCTTGTGTCGTTCGCGTTGTGTGGTCATGATGCTGGACTGTCTTGGTCCATCCCAGTATCGTTGTTTTTCAACTTGGGGTGGCACGTTTGGCGGCGGAACCAAGCCCCCACTTGATCCGTCCATGGTTGTGGCGCCTAAATTCAAACGTGATGGAACTTGTAGATGGCGCTGCTGTTCCCGCTGCTGCGTATTTTTGGTAGCCGCAATGCCCTCTTCATGCTCATGCAGTGGAGCATTGACATGGAGGTGCAGAGCGCCCTGTCGCTCGCGACGTTGTTCCGGTCCGACGACTACTCTAGCCGGTTGCTATCCACCTACGCGAAAGCTGTGGGTTTGCGATTCATCCACACCGCGCTCGCCGACCACATTCGCGCGCTGTGCACGGACAAAACCAAGTACAGTTGCAGCGACTTTGAGCTCAACATTATCAAAGATCCGTCGCTCAGCGACCCGGCCAAACTCCAGCGTAACGCAGACAACTTGATGCAAGTGTGTCAGAATATTGTCGACTCGATTTTGAACCACATGGACGAACTCCCGCTCTCGTTTGTCCATGTGTGCCGGTACCTCAAGGAGAAACTGATCGAGCGGTTCCTGGACGCCGAAGACGACTACGATGGGTCGTCGAGCCCGATCAAGGCCATCATGGGCGGCTTCCTCTTCCTCCGGTTCATCTGTCCCGCCATCACGACGCCTCATTCGTACGGGCTCTTGGACCAAATCCCGGACGCGTCCAGCCGCCGCATCCTCGTCCTTGTCACGAAACTCCTCTTCAACTGCTCCACCGACGTCGAGTTTGGCGTCAAGGAAGCGTATATGCGGTACGTCCCCCATCCATCGTGGTGCCTGTGCTCTTTCCGTGGAAAAAGGGTCATTCGCATGGCGGAGGGGTGTTGTGTGTGCCGCCCAGATCATTGTGGTCGATTTGCTGATTTTGTTGTGGGACAATGCATGTCACCGCCATGGTGGATTCATGTACCAAAACCAGTGGGTTGTCGAGTGGTGTGGGGAGTGGACGTTGTTGCGCGTGCCACTTTCGTCTCTGGCCCATGCGAACGCCACCCGCAACAGTTTCTACGAGCTTCTTTTTGCTCCGTTGTATGCCATGGCCCGTACGTTCCATCGAATGAACTTGGCAGCGTCTGCTTGGATGTTTGACTGTTGGGGGATTTCGCTTGGCTCCATGCGGATGGTGTACCAAACGGTTGTGTTGTCGACAGCATCGTGAATGGCTTCATTGTCCAAAACGCACCGCGCATGGCGTTTTTGTACACGCGACTGACGGCTAAGCGCGACGGCGAGATCGAGCAGTGCTTCACGGCCGACGCGGACGGGATTTTCACCCAAATCTCGGCCGACCAGCTGTATCAGGACCGCGACGAGGTGCGTCGTCATATCATGTCGAGAACAAGTGGCACTCACCCGCGTGATCTGTAGATTATCGGGGCAATGGGCAAGCATGTGGACGAAGTCGTGGCCAAAGTCGCCGTATCGTCCGAGCCGCTCGCGTCGCAGTTGCAGACCCTCATGTCGGTGCCGCCGCAGCAGACGTCGACCGGTTCGTTGACTGTGGCCGACACGTCGCCCGAAGAAAAGCACCCAACGCTTCAAAAGTCCAAGGGCAGCATCATGAGTTTTTTCAAGAAAAACCCGAGTGTTACAAGTGTGCTAACGTAGAACGGACGGTCGACATCGAGTGTGCCGTCGGTTCCTTCAGTCGGGCGAGCCTAACGTCAATGTTGTTTTGTGTGCGATTTCACATGGGGCGGTCCCGTCCATTGTCCGATCGAGATGGCTGGATGGTCGCAAGGGTGGCCCTCGACGGACGGCGTCAGCATCTTCACGGACTTGACGCCAACGTCCACCGTCCTTTGCCGCTGATGGAGACCGTTGTCGATACGAGCAGCCATACATCGACGGACAGGAACTCGAGAGGGACGGACACGGCGTGGTCGGCTGCCGTGACCCATGGACACACGTGGAGACTGGATCCATGGATTGAAGTTACAACGTCGTGAACAAGGCATGCCGTTCGAGGGGGCTCGCAACAAATGCTCCGTTTTGCCATGTGATGGTGGAATTGTCGACGACGTCGAGGACGAGGTCCCTTGCGTTGACCGGTTTGTCTGATGCGTCGATTGAGTCGCTTCCAGCCTTGCTAGTGCTTGCGGTGGTCGGGAGGATGCCGTCGTCGTCGTCCTTTTGCAGCCGTAGACATAAATGTGACACCCGTGTCGCAACCACCCAGACTGCGTCGACGGTCGCCGCAGGAATGTTCATGGCGATGTGGGACGAGCCATCGATCGTAATGGTCCCACACGACCCTGCGTACGTGAGGTGAACGCCGCGACATCGCATGACCTCAACGGACGCGACGACAGACACAAAGCTCACGCGCACATCCGCGCAGTCTTCGATCGAGATTTGAGCAACGCGACAGGCCGTGCACACAATGTCGCATCGCTCGACGCCGCGGAGATGGACCCCGAAAGCTGTTTCGTCCGCATCCAGCTCCAGGCGCTGATCGCGTACGTGTTCCACGCAGAGCGGGGGACGTCTGGCCTGCATGGACCGCAGCAGCGTCGGCATCGAGTTGACCGTCATGACGACGGAGATTCGGCGCCGGGTATCCGCATCCGGATAACAGCGATGTTTGCGCACCGAGGTCCCGCATAAGTGCGTGTCGAAGACAGGTCAAGCTCCACATCGCGACGATTCCTATCACCACGAGCTTTGCGATCTGGTGGAATGCCAGCGCGGCAGTCTAGTCGCGTGTCATGGCGTACATGAGAGAGATCCGCACGGCATTGCGGCGGCAATCGTGCATGGAGCGGTAAACATCAAACCGCAAGGCTTGCCTCGACGTATGATATCGTCCAACTCTCACTGTATACAAATTGCAAGATGTTTTGGACTCCACGATATCCATGAGGACATCCGGATACTCGCCTATAAGGATGCACTGCCACAACCGCCACGGCGGGCGACGACCTCCTTGGAGCATGAGCACGGCAACCATTATGCACTGGGGAAGAAAGAGCGCAGTGGATGGCGTAGAAAGGTCGTGCGAACTTCTGGGTTGAAGCGGTCGCGTTGAGGTCTGGATGCTGTATCCGGATTTTTGGTCGTATCCGGAAGGTCGCTGGTGTTGTCCCAACAATGTTTGAGCGTTGCTGGTCATTTGCGGATTTGGGGCCACGACATCGACTCCGTGCGCCGATGCCGCGAGAAGTTGGGGGAAGTATGCACTGGTGCGCTGCATTCGTGCTGCTTGCGACGTGGGTGAACGGTCAGGACGATCTGTCCAAGTGGATTGACCCCGTGACCCCGTTGGAGGGCCACCTGATCGACGTGCCTGCCGGCCCGTACACGATGGGCCGATCATCGCCCGCCAACAACACGTACCGCTTGATCTTCTCGGACGAGTTCAACACGACATCCCGGCTCTTTGAAGCAGGGAACGACCCGAAGTGGACCGCCCTCGAGAACCTCGATTTGACCAACATGGGGCAGCACTACTTTTCGCCTCAAGCGGTACAGACGGACGAAGGCAACTTGATCATCACCACGTCGAAACCCAAGAAAGCATATAAAGGCGCCAAGTACGTGAGCGGCAGTGTCCAGACGTGGAATAAATTTTGCTTCACGGGCGGGTATATCGTCATGCGCGCGATTCTGCCGGGCAAGTGGGGGATTCCCGGGACTTGGCCGGCGTTCTGGCTCATGGGAAACATTGGGCGCGCCACCTACCTTGGATCGCAGGACGGAACATGGCCGTGGTCCATGGATACGTGCGCACCATGGGTGAACGACTACATGGACCAGCCGCAAAAGATCAATGCGTGTGGAAACTTGACGGATGACGACGACCCGAACTCGTTGCCCGAACGGTTTGGTCTGCATCCACGCCAGGGCCGTGGCGCGACCGAAATCGACGTGTTTGAAGTGCAGATCAAGAAGAAGGACGATCCTGCGTTCATCTCGACGTCGCTGCAGCTAGCGCCTGGCCTACACGAAAACATGCGGCCCGATCCCGGCACGCTGCCCCGCCCCGGCATGTGGTATACGAACCTGACGTACGGCAACTACACGAAGATCAACAGCGACTACTACGGTGACGCGAACCTGGACTCGATCTCGGCACTCACCCAGCTCGACTCGAACTCGTTTAAGAACTACCACTTGTACTCGCTCGAGTGGCTGCCGGGGGAGGACGGGTACATTCGATGGTGGCTGGACGGCAATTTTCTGTACGAGATCCAAGGCGCGGCGCTCAACAAATGGGTGGACGGCATCCCTCCGCGCAAAATTCCCGTCGAGCCAAGCTACCTCATCATCTCAACCGCTGTGTCGGAAAAGTTTTCGCCGCCGTGCGACGGCCAACTATGTGCGTCATTGTGGCCATCCAATTTTACCATCGACTACGTCCGCGTGTACCAAGGGCCCAAGAACAACTACACGAGCATCGGGTGCGATCCTCCCAATTACCCCACCAAGGAGTGGATATACAAGCACCCGGTTTGGTACGGCTTGCCGTACTATACGCCGCTCCCGGTCACCGACTACGTCCTGAGCTTCCTCGCGCTTGTCGGGATGGTGTTCTCGGCCGTCATGGCTGGGTTTGGCACGCGCAACGAGCACTTGGCCGCGTGCATTGGGAGCTCGCTCGCCGCGACGTGTGCATTCTACACGCTGTTCAACGTGGGCTTCACGGTCTGGACGATTTTTCCGATGGCGGTGGCGTCGCTGTGTGGCGTCGTATTTGGTCTCCTTAGCTGCCTCCTTCCCGTCCACAGCCTTGCCGGGACGACGGCGCTGCTCCTGTCGTTGGTGCTGCACCCGTTTATCCCGCTGCTCCTGCATCAAGTTATCACGCTCGTGGTGTTTATCCTTGCGTTTTTCTTGCCGTTTTTCTCGTTCGTGGACCGCTCGATCGTGGTGATCGCGTCGACATCGATCCTCGGGGCATGGGGCGTTGTCGGTGGCGCGTCGCGGTTTCTAAACAATGGCCAGTTTATGGTGGGGCTATGGCACACGCTGTCGTTGCTCGTTTCAGGTCCGTCGACGCCGCCCGAGTTGCTGTGCAACTTGTACTGTGGCGAGCTGTACTCGACGTGGGGCGTGCTGGCCGTCATGTCGATCGTGCTGCAGCTCTCCACGTACAAGAAACCGTCGGGGACGCGGCCGCCGTTCAGCCCGTCTGTGGCCGGTAGCGACGGCCGCGCATGGCCCGCGAGTGAGTCGCATACCAACTTGTTTCACTTGCAGGATCTGCCGGCCAAGATGCAGCCGTTTGCCGCCATGTCGAGTGTCGCGTCGCAAGTCGCGCGATCGTTTGGCTTTCAAGCGGCGAGCGTCAAGAATCAAACGGAGCACTTGCTCGTGCTCCTGGCCAACCAAACCCGGGGCGGAACGAACCCGTTTGTGAGTCTGCACACGACCATGTTTGAAAATTACCACCACTGGTGCCACAAGCTCCAGATCACGCCGATGACAGCAACGCCATCGTCGTCACTAGACAGCCTCGCCGCCGACCTGTGTTTGCTATTTTTCATCTGGGGCGAAGGCAGCAACGTCCGCCACGCCCCCGAGTTTCTCAACTTTTTGTTCCACAAGATGAAACAAGAGTTTGGCCGGCCGCACACGCGCGAGCCGGGGTACTTTTTGGACGCCGTCATCACGCCCGTTTACATGCTGCTCAAGGCCGAGATGAACAAGGCGCAGGACCACGAAGAACGGCGCAACTACGACGATTTCAACGAGTTCTTTTGGACGCGGGCGTGCCTCAAGTACGACTACAAGAGCCCGGATGCGCACGACGCGCCGCTGCCGCCGGACGCGCCGCCATGCATCGCGCAAGCGTGGGCCGCGACTACGAAAACGTACTTTGAGAAGCGCCACTGGATCACGCCGCTTCGCGCGTTCCGCCGCGTGTTTGAGTTTCACTTGGTCTCGTTTCACTTTCTCGTCGCCGTCGCGTTTGCCGACCAACTCGACTTGGACGCATCCGCCGCGCTCCACCTGGTCTCGAGTGTGCTCCTCTCGCCGCTCTTGCTCAACATTGTGTGGGCTGGCATCGACCTCATGCTCATGTACTCGCCGCACATGCCGTTTCCGACGTTGATTCGCATGGTTGTCCGCGTCATCTTCCACCTAGGCACCACGACAATCTGCTCGCTGCTGTACTGGTACGCCCTCGCGAGCGCGCCGTACTGGCCGCAGTTTTACACACTCACGCTGCTCGTGCATGTCCCGTTTGCATTCAACAGCGTGCTCCAAGTGTTGCCTGGCGTCACGAGCTGGATCCGGCAAACAACTTATGTCCCGGTGCAGGTCTTTCGCGACTTGGTCAGCCCGATCAACCTGTTGTACGTCGGCGACAACGTGCTGGACTCGGCCGCCGACAGCTTGGGGTACCAATTCTTTTGGGTGACGCTCTTGGCATGGAATATGTTGTTTTCGTACAAGTTTGAGATTGCGCCGCTCGTCAAGCCGACGCTGCTGCTATGGGCCGACCACGTCGAGAATCACGTCGACATTGTCTTGACGCTGGCGCTCATGTACATTCAGTGGTTTCCGTTCTTTATGATTTTTTGCATCGACGTGACTATCTGGAACGCGCTCTGGGTCGCGTTCACCGGGACGTTTGTCGGGTTTCGCCTCAAGATTGGCGAAATTCGCAACTACGAGCGAACACGCCAAGCATTTGTCCATGCTGCCCATCAGTTCAACCAGAAACTGATCGCGGCGACGTCGAAAACCGGCGTCGAACTAGCAGCTCACGACCACACGTACGGCGCGGCGGTCGGCGGCAGTCGGTCGTACGAAGTCCTCAACGTCGTCGCGTCCCCTGTCCACACAACCGGGAACAAGCACGATAAACAAGAGTTGACGCCGCTCCTCAGCTTTACCAGACGCATCCCGAGCCGCCGGGAGAAGCAAGACTCGCGCCGCCGGATGTGGACGTCGTTCGGCACCGCATGGGATACCGTCATCGACAGTCTTCGCGCCGACGACTTTATCAGCAACGCTGAAATGGACCTCCTCAAGTTTCAGCGCATCCCGGCGTACGAACGGCAGCTGTACGTGCCGCTGTTTCAACTCGCCGGGTGCTTTGAGCAGTTTTGCCTCCACTTGAACCAGCACGGCAACGTCAATAGCATGACCATCCACGACGTCCTCGCCGCCCACCCCATGATGGAAGAGAGCGTTGGCGAAGTGTGGGAGCTCACCATATACATCTTGATCAACCTCCTCGGGCCCTGCCACTCGAACGACGTTCGATTTATCTGTGCGATCCTGACGTCGTGGCTGGAACGAGGTACGTGGCGCAGGGAATTCGCACGATGGTGTGGACTCCAAGGGAGTACAGCTTGGATGAAAACGTGTGGCTGACGTGGTTTGACGGTTGGCGAATGAGTGGCTCGTCGGGGGGTCTGTATCACAAAGGCAACGAGCATCCACCCCCGACAATGCCAGAGATGTCGCGGTGCTTGGATTTTGTCTGCGTTTGGTTGGCACCACGCTGGCAATCGATGGTTGCGTACGAAGCTGTTGTGGCGTGATTGCAAACCCCTTCTTTTTTGTGTGGCAAACTTTACGCCGTTCGTGTCGATGTCGACGTGGAGAGCGCATGATGGGACGGCGATTCAAGCTGCTCGATCGAAGCGAATGGCGTTTGGAGCTTTGATCTTTGCATTCTGTGCATGCCGTGTGCTGTTTCGAGTGGTGGTCTTGTGACCGCACTGACGGGTTTGTTGTGTGGGGGGGTAGGGATGTACCACGGCATCAAGTGGGAAAAGCTGGCGGCCGCTGCCGACGCCTGGTCGGACGTGCTTCAACTGCTCAAGTCGAACATGCCGTCGTGGAAGGCACACGCCAAGCACGTACCGACTCGCAAGCAGCCTAGCGACTACATGCAGTATACGCAGCAGCAGCAGCAGCAGCACCCGACATCGCATTTGAATTCGATCAAGTCGAGCGCGATGCACAAGTCGGCATCCACGACCGGCCTGAACACGCTGTCGTCGAGCAGCAACGTCCCGCGTCGGTCGCGTGGATCGGGCGTCGCGCGCATCGCCGCCATGCAGCAGATCCAGCCTCCGACCCTACCGCACCTCAAGACGAGTATTCCAGCCGTCCACGTCATGCAAATTCGCGACAAACTGCGCACGTTCTTAAACGTGGTCAAGGGCATGTTGAGCGCCGGGATGGACGATCCCACCGACGTCCTCGTGAGCGAGACCAAAGCCATGAACGACCGCCTCACGTGGATGCTCACGCAAGAACGCGGGTTCATGTGGGACGATGAGTACACGGGCGAGCAGCTCACGCTGTTTGTGTTTGACTCGCACGCGTCGACGGCTGTGAGCCACGTTCGCGGGCTCTTGACGCTTCAAAAGGTGGACGCCGAGCCGAAATCGTACGACGCGCGGCGGCGACTCCTCTTCTTTGTCAACTCGCTGTTCATGGACATGCCGGTCGCCCCGGTGCTGGAAGAAATGCAGAGTTACTCGGTCATGACGCCGTTTTACGCCGAAGACATCATGTACTCCAAGAGCGACTTGGAGTCCAAGCAGGACGGATTGGACGTGCACACGCTGCTGTACTTGCAAACGCTGTACCCGAACGACTGGCAAAATTTTCTCGAGCGCGTCGAACCGAAAAAGAACCTGTGGAAAGATCCGAACACGGTGCAGGAGCTGCGCTTGTGGGCGTCCATGCGAGGGCAGACACTGGCGCGGACAGTGCAAGGGCTCATGTATGGGGAAGCGGCCATCCGGCTCCTCGCCGAGCTCGAAAACGTGCCGCGGCACGTGATCGAAGACCTCGTCAAGGCCAAATTCACGTACGTTGTCGCGTGCCAAGTGTACGGTCGTCAAAAGCGCAACAACGACCCGAAAGCCAAGGACATTGAGTTCCTCCTCCATCGTTTTCCCAACCTGCGCGTGAGCTACATCGACGAAGTTCGCGTGAATTACCAAAAGGACCTGAGCTACTTTACCGTGCTGATCAAGGGGACGGAGACGCTGTACGAAGTCGTCGAGTGCTACCGGATTCGCCTCCCCGGCAACCCGATTCTGGGCGAAGGCAAGCCTGAAAATCAAAACGCAGCCGTGATATTCACCCGCGGCGAGCACTTGCAAACGATCGATATGAACCAAGACGGGTACCTCGAAGAAGCCCTCAAGATGCGCAACTTGCTCGAAGAGTTTTCCGCGAGCAAGCGGCCGTGCACGATAGTCGGGCTCCCGGAACACATCTTTACAGGTACAATCTCGACTGCATCAAACTCGCCGCATGCCGACGATGACGTAGGGAGCATCAGTTCGCTCGCCAACTACATGGCTCTCCAGGAAACGTCATTTGTCACGCTCGGCCAGCGCACGTTGACTCGCCCGCTTCGAGTGCGCATGCACTACGGCCACCCCGACGTGTTTAACAAGCTCTTCTTCATGACCCGTGGCGGATTCAGCAAAGCCAGCAAGGGGATCAACTTGAGTGAAGATATCTTTGCCGGCTACAACAATTGTTTGCGAGGTTCGTGCGCTGGACGACCGTGTGGACGGTCGATTTTTCGTTTGGATACCATGGGTGATGTGGCATGCGTGTGCGAGATGAGCGCGAGTCACTGGAGGTCGAGTTCGGGCAATGTTTGTTGTACCGTTGTGGCTGCGCGCGGGGTGCTTTCGTGGAGGTTTTGGTCGGTGCGTGCTTGTTTCGGTGACTGTTTGCATGCGTTTCGTTTATTATATATCGTCGTGCGCGATGCACGGTAGAGTGAACTTGAGCTCTAACTCTTGTTGGGGTTTGCAGGTGGGACGGTCGCGTTCCCAGAGTACGTCAAGTGCGGCAAGGGTCGCGATGTCGGGATGCAGCAGATCTACAAGTTTGAGGCCAAGCTCGCGCAGGGGGCGGCGGAGCAGTCGCTCAGTCGCGACGTGTACCGGCTGGCGCATCGCCTCGATTTTTTCAAGCTCCTGAGTTTTTACTACAATCACGTGGGGTTCTACCTCAGCATGAGCTTTGTCATTTGGACGGTGTATGTGCTGGTATACATCAACGTGCTGCGCGCGTTGCTCGGCGTCGAAGGCACTGGTACGCTGCCATGGCCCGTTGCGATCCCAACGCGGTGTTGATTGTAGGCGGCCGCGAAGCCGTGATTCTGTCGGAGCTCCAAGTGATGCTTGGCAGCGTCGCGTTCCTGACCACGGCGCCCATGTTGGCCACCATCTCGGTCGAGCGCGGGTTCAAAGCGGCGCTGTCTGAAGTGTTTATGGTGGTCGTGACGGGTGGTCCCATGTACTTTTTATTCCACATCGGGACCAAGTGGTTTTACTTTGGCCAGACGATTCTGGCCGGCGGCGCCAAGTACCGCGCGACCGGTCGGGGCTTTGTCACCAAGCACAGCCGCTTCGACGACTTGTATCGGTTCTACGCGTCGAGTCATTTGTACGCGGGCTTTGAGATCGCCGCCGCGCTCGTGCTCTACTACGCATACACGCACACGACGCAGTACGTGGCGCTGACGTGGAGTTTGTGGCTCGTGGTGTTTTCATGGACGTGGTCGCCGTTTTGGTTCAACCCGCTCGCGTTCGAGTGGTCGGATGTGCTCGAGGACATCAAGATGTGGATGCAATGGATGCGCGGCGAGGGCGGCAATGCCAACCAGTCGTGGCTCGCATGGTTCAAAGACGAGAATTCGTACTTCATCAAGCTCCGGCCGTGGGCCAAGGCGTTGGTGTTTTCAAAAGGATTCCTCCACGCGATCGTCGGCCTCGCGCTCTTGACGTCGGCCGACGCGTACCACTCGATCACGGCCGAGACGTCGTACGTGCCGCTGGTCGTCATGCTCGCGATGGTGTCGGTCAATCTGTTTGTGTTTATGCTCCTCTTCCGTGGCCCGTACGAAAGCGGATCTGTCCGCGTGCTCAAGCTCGTGTTTGTTGTTGTCGATGTGGCGGCGCTCGTCGCGGGGTGGTCGACCATTCCCGGCATGATCCCGTGCACCGTGAGTTTTTACTTTTTCAGCGCGGCGGCCGCGACGTGGATGCTGCTCTTCTTTGGCAGCGACAACAAGCTCGCGATCCACCTCTTCTTTGTCCACGATTGCGTCCTGGGCATGGCATGCTTGAGTGTGATTGTCGTGCTCAGCGCCATCGTCGTGCCCGGCAAAGTCCAAACGTGGCTCCTCTACAACAACGCGCTCAGTCGCGGCGTCGTGATCGAGGACATTCTCCGAACCAACTCGAAACTCCACGAGAACGACGACGATTTGACGATGGTCCACATGAAGAAGATCATCCTCGAGCAGCAACGCGTCATCGCGGCGCTCACGAACGGGTCGGACAGCGACACAAGCGACAAGACGAGTACTGCCACCGGCGGTCTCAAGGAACTCAGCCGCACGCACGTGAGCGACACGGACCTGTCGGAACTCAAGGACGCGTCCGCCAAGCTCCAGCAGATGCTAAACACGCAGCAGGAACAAAAGGACCCCCACGTCGCGGTCCCATTCCAGCGCGTCCGCCGCGCCAACTCGTCCGACTTTCACGCGAGCAAGCTCGTGCCACAACAGCAGCAGCCACTCCAATTTGGCGGCATCCTGTCCAAGCAACCGTAACAACGATCGTCATGGACGGAGTGGCGTTCGTACAAGAGTAGTGATAGATAGTTCATGACATGGCACATGTGGTCGATCATGTGTGTGTGTGGGGGGATGAACCGGTGCCGCACACAAAAAAGTGCCGTGGCGGCGGACCTCCAGGCAAACGCTGCCAGCACGACTCATGCATCAGGAAAGAGGCGACGTGTTCTGCGATGTCATGCAGCCCTCGGTCGTCCACGGCACTGCCAAAACCCCCTCCATCATCCTGTCTCGCCAGCAGATTCTTTAAACGTTAGATCGATGGGTGAATGACGAGTCGTTCCCGATGACGATGGCATCATGGTCACGGCGACGGAAGGGTTGGGTGGACATGGTCTCGGTGGCGCAAGTAGCGAAGAGAGCCGAGGGTAGCCATCGCCGCCACCGTGGACGCGAGATGCTACCGACGTCGGGTGGATTTATGAATCTATGGCATTTTTGTGTGTCTAGCATGGTCGTAGGGTGTGGGAGCTGCATCCTGTGTGGCATCGAGGACGACATGGCACTCGGCAAAGTTGCCACTCGCTCGGTGGAATGAAAACGACTGCTTCTTGTGGCGGGGGCTGCGGGGGCTGAGGAGGAAAAAGTCGGCGAATGAGTTGAGTTCGGCCAGCGACCACTTGGACAACACGATCAGTTGGTCGTGTGTCGGGAGGCCGCCGACGTGGTCCAACTCGAACGGTAGCTCGATCACGTCCGATGTCGTCAGGTGGGCATGGTCGATCGAGTCGCCGTACACGACACGGCGTGCCGCCGTGGCGACAAGGGCGAGAATGTGCGCGGTCGCGGGGGTCTTCATGCAAGGAACGAGGATTGAACAATGCCTGTCGGGAATCCCGATGCAAGGCGGCGTGCCAGATGACGACGCGATCGGCATCTTAGATGCGCCGTTGGACCGTTTCGGTGCCAGCCATCTTAGCAGTTTTGTGTCTGGTGTGTCGTGCGACTGTCGACAGCCAAGGCGGGAAGGGCACCACGGCTCTATCATGCACTCGTTGATTGCCTGGACAACGTCGTTTCGCGCATACTGGCGTCGCTGCGGCAGCAGTCGTCGCGCACATGGACGATTCCACGACAACCGGCTCGCCAGTCGCTGTAGTTATGAGGGGGTGATGAGCGGTGCTGGTGCGCCACAGCACGTGGCTGGGAATTGGAGCCCCTTTGACCCCCACGCCGAAACCTGTCTGAGGAGCTCCGAGAGCCCAATACACGCGGCGGTGTCCCGGCACTCGTTTATGTCGTCCCACCAGCAAGGCGATGCTGTCGTCGCAAAGATGTCGCCATGTACGACAAGGTTCATCCTGTTTTCACGGGACCCTGGCATTTGCTGACGATTCGTGATGCCATCATCGAGCCCTGCCTGGCTATCTAACAAATGTGCATGGCGCATACCACCGACCTCGACACTTTCCGGCAGCTTCTGCATATACTTTGGCAAACGACACATGGCGAGCCCACACACCCCGCAAGGTTTTTCTTGTGGCCAATCTTGCGTGGAGGTCGGAGGTTTGCCGACGCACGCGGACACTGATGTATGCATGCGAGGTGGGGCTCTATTCGATCGAGATTACTGTTAGCACAGATCTGCCGTCGCCATGCCGTTCGCTTGCATGGACATTATGTCGCCTCCTTGAAACAGCGGCGACAGGACGCCCCCAATCGACCTGTGGCCGTGGCCACAACATGCAACAAGTGCACCACGGTCTAGGCCGTCTTCCGTCCCTCATTGTTGTCTTGGCCGAGTGTGCAGCGTGTTGAAACTAGTTGCTTCGAGCGCCTGGATACCTTTGTGACGCGGGGGAGTTTGCTCAGTCCACGTGGCAGCACGCACGCGTTGGGCACTCGCGGCGGCGACAACAACAGCCCAAGTCAAAAGAGGTCCATGATACGGTAGTGCATCGCAACTTGTTTGTCGTACCGATTTGTGAAAACCCCGTGGTCAAAGGGGAAAAAGGTGTGGCTCGAGCTGTGGGGGTGCAGCGTTTTCGTGTGATGGGCATTCTCTCCGCAGCCCTTCTTGCCCGAACTATGCATACCTGCCACACGCTTGGCACGAGGGGGAGGCGACGCTGTCCTTCCAGAACATCGCGTCGCCATCGAGTTTGGAACGAATTTGTTCTCGTGTTCACAACACTCCCGTGTATAGGAGGTCGAGCACTGAACACGCGTGGTGCATCACGATGCTTGATGTTGGCTGTCGTAAGAGTGCCACGCATCCTCTGTGACGCCCCCGTTTTCACTGCCTTGACGCATTTGCTGCCATGAAGTTTGAATCGAAGCCAGAACATTGTCCATGGATCCAGGTGTCCCACATACGTTCTCGAAGCGACTCACTACGCATTTGCCCATTCCGTTCCAAACAGCACCACGTCGATGCAGAACCGCGCGATTGCCTCGCTATGCGTTGCCGCAACTTTGGCGGAAGGAGCTGCCAGCAACGCGACCAATGAGTGCTGGACCCGCATGTCCGCCAGGCTGAGTCCAATCGTTTCGTCGAGTGAGCACTCGAGCAGTGCACCAAAGACATCGCGTTGGTCGCGCCGGCATGGTGGGATGCATTGTCCCAAGGCTTCAACCAACTCGTCAACGCGTCGTCGCCCTTCTTCCCCACGGGCACGTTTTCCACGCGCGATGCGTTGAACAACTCGAAAGTGTGCCAACAATGGTACATCGGTGTCGAGGACGCCATCAAGAAGGTCGACCCGCCGTGCACTATCGCTGTCGCGAACGGGACACAAATCGTCACAGCCAAGTGGAACGCATCGCTCTCTGAGTTCATGGAAGCATCCGAGATGTGGGTCGCAGATGTCTCTGAGGCAAGTGAGATTCCTACCAAAGCGCCGTCCACCACGGCTACCAAGCCTGTGACTATCTCCGTGACCACGATGCCAATACCCCTACACCGACATCCGTGGTTAACGGGGTAAAATAGCAGTTTGCTCCTGGCATTGCCGCGGGCGTTGTCGCTTTCACTCTTGCCGCGATTGCCGGTGGTTGCTCGCTCGTCGTCGAGTTCGAACTCGCTGCGGAACAGTTGTTGACCGACATGAAATTAGAGTCATCCACACTAATTATGTGGTACCTGAAAATTTTCACCCTTTTTGGGGAGTATAATTGACATACAAGGGTCGAATAAACGAAGTGACAACGAAACTCTTTTTTTTTCGTATGTGGAAGGCATCGAAATAACTACGACAGCTTGACTTACATCTACTTCCAATTTGGTCATTTTTCGTAAAAGAAGCCGTCATTTCTGTAGGCTCGTACAAGCCCAACAGAAGAAACGGGTGGGATTGTCGATAGGGTCCATGTACATATTTGCCAAGGAGAAAGACGCAGTCGAGGTTGGTATAACGTCAATCAGGTAAGGTTTAACTTAGTAACTATGACCCTTAAAAGCATAACGTTGACACCTCAGTACTGTATGGCGCATTTGTAGCCCTGGGCAAAATTCCGCAACATATATATAGTGTGCATTGCACACTAAATAGAATTCACACTATTCATGCATACACACTGGGTACGCATCGACTGTACAGGCGTACACATTGACCTGTATAGAAAAAATCTATAGGCATACAAACTCACCGTTACGATTTTGTCGAAAGTCATCGTATCTGGATATGTCGGGGAAACTGAACGGGCGCAGATCTTCCATTTTCAATCGGCAACACGACGACGTGGCACGATGGAGCTAGCGTATCAGTACACGAAGCCGCGGCGGACATTTGGACGGTACTGCGATTTCAAGCATGTCGATGCCAAGGTGATCGAGTCGATCCCGTCCACGGACCAATTCGACCACGACTACGTAAAGCGGCGGCCCATGATCGGTAGGTTGGACACAACACCAGACATGTCGGAGCACGAAGTCAACACGGAGAGGCTTGTGACCAAGAACAGCAGCATGCGTCATGTCGAAGGAGGGTGGCCCAAGGATGTGGACTCTGCCGAGCAAAACGACGTCCAGCGCTTCCGAAAAAAGGTCGAAAAGGACGACGAGTACAAGCAAGCAGTCAAGTTTCTTGGTCCTGTCGCGGAGCGCGGCCTGAAGCAAAACAACACGATCAACATCTATCAAGACTATTTCGCACACATGGGCGAACCTGCGACGACCGAGCAACCTAGCGCCAAGGGGTTGGCAGTGTTTCGAGACCCTGAGTCCGTTCGACGAACGGTGTCCAAGATCGACTGGCACCCGGAATCACCACAACGCATGGCGGCATGTTACTGCATCCTCAACTTTCAGGACCCCAAATTCGTCAACTCGCGCATGCCGTCCAACAGCTACATTTGGGACGTGATGAATCCAAACACGCCTGAAGTTGTTCTCAAGCCCTTGAGTCCGCTGTGCTGCTTGCGATACAACCCCAAGAGTGTCGACCAGCTTGTCGGTGGGTCGTACAACGGACTCATCTCGTTCTTTGATATTCGCAAGTCGGGCAGCTCGCCTGTCGAAACGTCCATGATCGAACATTCGCACCACGACCCGGTCTACGATGTGTTTTGGATCTCGTCCAAGACAGGTAACCAGTGCTGCTCGGTGTCGACGGATGGTTCGATGCTTTGGTGGGACATTCGACACTTGGCCCAGCCCACGCATCGAATCCTGCTCTCAGACAAGGACGGTCAAGTCCTCGGTGGCTCGAGTATGGAGTACAACACGGAAGCGGGGCCAACCAAGTACCTTGTGGGGACAGAGCAAGGTGTAGTGCTATCCGTCAACCTGCGCAACATCAAGCAAAACAACGGGATTGTCGTCTACGACACGGGCGCAGGAAAGCACCACGGCCCAATTTACACCATCCAACGCAACCCGAGTCATAACAAATTCTTCATGACAATTGGTGATTGGACCGCGCGAGTGTGGTGCGAGGATCTCAAGACGCCCATCATGAGCACCACGTACCACGAGTCGTACGTGACAGCGGGGTGCTGGAGTCCGACACGTGCAGGGGTGTTCTTCGTCACACGCATGGACGGCGTCGTTGACGTGTGGGACTTCTTCTACCGACAGAACGTCGCGGCGTACTCACACAAGGTTGGCGATGTCCCGCTCTCGGCGATCAGTGTGCAGGTGGGTGCAAATTTGAAACTGTTGATTGCGCGGGAAAATCTCATTTGGAATTTGTATCATCAGGGGAACAGTCAATCCGGGGGCAAGCTCGTCGCCGTGGGCGACTCGAACGGGATGATCTCGTTACTCGAGGTGTCGGACGGGCTCGCGATCCCGCAATCCAACGAGAAGGCCGCGATCAACGGCATGTTCGAGCGCGAGACGAAGCGCGAGAAGAACTTGGAAGCACGGGAGAAGGAACAGAAGCGCAAGAAAGCAACGATGGACGAAGGCAAGGTCGACGAACTCCCTTCTACCAAGGACGAAAAGATGGAGGAACTGCTGCGGACGGTCGATGCCAACTTCCTCAACATGATCAAGGAAGCCGAAGACACTGAGAACAAGAACATGGAGCACAAAACAGACAGCATGAAGCCAGGCGACGAGGACAACTAGGGGAGTTAGACGTAGCAAGCGCTGGATGCGGTGAATGTTCGATACGTACAAACTGCATTGACGGGCCTCACCCACGCACGTTTAGCCCACTCATCGCGCGACTACGACGCGACTAGCAGAACCTCTCGATCGAACAATACCGCCACTATCGATCTTCGCGCAGGCCGCGCATACACACCGCCTGTCAAGGTGCCGTGAGCAACGGGTTGAATTCGTTTTCGCCCACACAATAGTTCATCCAAACTCAATTCAACAGTCAGATCTTGGTCAAAGCGAGGGGGTCATGCTATCCATTGGCGGTGACACGTTGCGTACGAGACAGGACTGTACCGACATGCATGGCCATGGGTGTAGCTGCCAGTTGAGCCGCCGCCACTTCCTCCATGCGAGCGGCATGTCCGGGTTGGATCATCTCACGGATTAGAATGAGAGAATGAGAATGCGAAATTCCCGTATATTAGAGAAATGAATGGTTGTATGTGCCAAATCTGACAACGTCTTTTCCAGACGCCATTTCGACTCAAACGCGTCGATTCAGGGGAATTCTTTAGCCACCCTCGTCATAGGCTGTTCGTTTTCAGCCAAGGAGAGCTGTGTTTCAGTTGTAAAGTGTGTTTTGATCTTGGTGCTCTAGGTCTGTAGTGGCAAAAATCGACACCACCTCACTTCTCGTCTCGATCACGGGAATTTCTCTCCCATGTCCAGTTTTTGCGATTTTGTCATGAAATGCAAGATCCAGCAAAAATCCTACCAATCAGAAGCGAGAATTTGTTTCTTTTCCGGACGAGGTGAGATGGGTTTAACGTATTTAACGTCACTGGCGTTTTAGGCTATTTCGTGCAGCGAGTGACGCCTCTGATTGGCTGAATATCAAATTTCCGAATTGACCAATCACGCATTGACATGCATTTCAGAAAGGCTGCGTTGGAGCAAGGCAACGCCATGGCGCCGACCGTCGTTGAGGAAAACGCGACCAAGGTCGTTCCATGGGCGTACATGCGCAAAGGGGAATGGTTTATCTTCTCCAAGGAAGACTGCGGTACGTGATTACAATTGTGCTCTGTCGAATGCAGCATCCCGATGCCCTCTGTGCGCAGAGAAACTCGAAGGTTGCCGCGACTTCATACCCGTCGTCGTGGACCAAGGACGGTTGGAAGTGACCGTGCATGAGCGCACCGTATCGGCAGTGTTCTGGAAGGAAGGGCCGTATCCCGTCATTCGAACGTACGTCCCTCGATCCATCAAGAGTTGTCATGACCGAGCGATCGATGCCAGGGAATGGCTGTTCGAGTCGTCCGGCGGCAAATTTTTCCCCATTCCAGAAGATGAAGCGACCGAAATCAATCGATACTGGGCCTCTCTACCCAAGGTATAGCTTACGCCTCGATAGTTGCTCTCCGTTCACCGTGTACCTTCTCAAGTTCTTCCAGTTCCATCATAAGTCGTCGTGCCTACCTTCACTTCATAACGTGCACAACGGGTAGGACACCGCGCACTACTTTTCCCTTCCAGTGGAGGATCACATGACAGCGCACGAGATCAAGTTCGGCCCGTCCAAGTCGCCGACGGAGCAAAAGATCTCGGAGCTGTTCCTCAAATGCGCCCACACGCGATCTCGTCGGTGCAAGGCGATTCACCACGGGTATCCAGGGTGGACAAGTGCGCCAGTACCGGGTTCTATCAAGAGCCCGTCGTCCGCATCGACGGACCATTCCCGCAGCAGCACATCGACCGACACCCGTCGAGAAGTCAACCATGTTGTGTTTGTGGTGCACGGGATCGGCGAAACGTACTGCAAGAAGCGGCAGGCCGACGGAACAATCGTCGACTATTGCTACGCCATGCGGCAATCCACCGAATCGATCTTGACATCGCATTTTCCGACCGTCGCGGCCGGCATCGAGTACCTTCCTGTCGACTGGTCGGACGTCATGCGCGACATGGTACCACGTCCTCGTCCATGCCTTTCTAACGCCATCCACAGGGAGACGACTTGCATGCGATGCTCCACCGCATTTCGTTTGAGGCAATGCCATTCGTCCGCGAAATCTGCAACGAGTTGCTCTCGGACATTCTCATGTACATGGTCCGTCGGCGGGGATGTCTCGACGCTCTGAATCGCTTGTGTCATTGTCGGATTGAATGGTTTCGGCCCGTCGGCTGTGCTGCTCGCGTCGACCGGATTCGTCGCCGATGATGGAGCTTTCCGTGTTGACCTGGCCACTCGCCGCGCTCACGTGCCACCTCTCTCTCTCTTTAGGAGCGAAAGCAAAAAGTCCTCGCGTTTGTCGCTACGTACATGAACAGCATATATGCGCTGTACAAGCATCGGCACCCGTCGTTCCAAGGCAAGGTGTCCATCCTGGGCCACAGTCTCGGCAGCGTCATCACCTACGACGTACGTGGTGAACTCGGATTCTAGACGTGGTTGGCACGCAGAATGGTAGCTCTTGTCGGCGCAACATGCCACGCACGGCGACGCGACCCTCCACTTGGACTTCCACCCCGATGCGTACTTCGCGTTTGGCGCGCCGATCGGGCTCTTTCTCGCATTGCGTGGCCGCGGCCATGGGGACACTCTCGCCCTTCCCACCGTTTCCCGCATGTACAATATCAACCACGTAAGCTCCAGTGCCGTCGTCATGGGACGTCTATAGAAGCATGATGCATGGTAGCCGTCGGACCCGATCTCGTATCGATTGGAACCGCTCTTGTACGCCAAGGCCAAAGTCCTGCCCCCCGTGCGGCTCAACACGTTCTCTGGATGGAAGCGCATTCATCACGTACGACGTCCAACTAGATCGATTTGCTCACCGTCGACACGAATGGTGCTCATGAAAGAAATGTGGCAGGCTGTCCAAGACATTGTCGAATCACTAGAATCGAGCCAGAAGAAGTTGGCCAAGGATATCGGGACAGCATTCAACAACCTCGGCAACATGCTCAAGCCCAAGCCTCTGGACAACACCGTTGACGGCGGTGAGGACAGCGCCGGCAATGACGCCCCCACCGACGAGAACGTGCACCTCGAAGCAATGCTCGCGCGGCTGAATCCCCGGACCAAGCGGTTGGACTTTGTCCTGCCGGTAAGCACCATGCACCATCACCCTTCCTCCCCGGATGGTGAAGACTCGACTGACGATTGGATCCTACATAGGAATCCGAGATTGAAGCGCTGACGCCGCTCGCCGCGCTGACCGCGCACACGGGGTACTGGAATTCGATGGACTTTGTGCTATTCATAGTGACACAGTTGGTGGATGAAACTGACAGCAGCAACACTTTGACCAGTGCCACATAGTCTGACGGGAACTACGTTAACACGACCTAGTCTTTCATCGCGCCCCGGGTTCATGGACATGTCCAGGTTCCTCGTCGTCGCGTCGCAAAGAAGCCGCCAGGCCGGCCGACAACGTCGATGTGTGTGTGCGACGTTGCGCGCGAACGTAACTCTCGTTGTCATGCCTCGACGAGGCAGCACGCAGAGACGACAGGGCAACGGCGCAACAACTTCGTGCCACCTTCGTGCACTCCACACCTTGACGTGCGGTCAACGGACCAGTTGCCGCGCTGCCGCCTGGACGTCACCCCGATCTTGTGCCAACCGTCATGGACGAACGAATGGGACGAGTTAAAACCGCCAGTGCGTTTTATTCGCAGAGGCGGCCATTCCACCACTGACAGGCCAAAGAATAATGCCGGTGCAGTGTAAAACCCACCTCGTGCCTTGTTTACGCAGACGACGCGCCTTCATCGCCCACGTGCTTGGGGAGCACGTGGCGTCGTCCTCGCTCATCATGTTGTGTCCATCGGAAGCATCTGGTGCAAGACATCGCGCGTCGGGCTGGCTTGGCAGGAGAAACCGATGGCGCGTTTAAAACGTCCCGTCCCGCGCGTCGCGTTTGAGACGTGTTCTAAAAACAGACGAGTAAAACGCATTGCACATTGGGCCGGTCAGGTATACAAAGATCAAGTTCAATAGCGCCACGAAGCGACATCTCTAGGTTTTTGTATGAAGGCGATTGTGTCGCAGCATACTGAATCCAAGTGAAATCGGGAATAGCACCAACCTATACAACCTTCAAGATGTTTGAACAAGCGCGTAAGTAATTGCGATTTTTTATTGCCACGCGCGCGAGGGGTATACAAAAATCAAGATGCTATCATCCATCCTGTTTTTATTTCCGACACAGAACGATTTTTAACGACCGGATGGATCGCCGCTCCATTTATATCGGACGCCACTTTCGAATTTGCCCCCCGCCCGAAGAAGAAGGATGATCGATATCGAGCAAGCGGCGACCGTGAGCATTCTGTACGACGCGCTCCTCCAGCGCAAGAGCCTCTACTGCCACAGCAAGATGCTTGTCGAGTCGAAGAAGCTCTTGGCGTGCAAGAAGGACATTGAAGAGTGCCGGGAACGCATTGAAGAGATTGAGGACCAGCTCGGCGACATTCACGTCGAATGCTGCGACAAGGGCCCGGAAGCGTACGCGTCCAACCCGGAGGTCAAGACGCTCCTCGCAGAAAAGGAAGAAGAAGAGTCGCTCCTCAAACAAATGAATAGCGTCCTGGAAAGTCGCAAGAAGGCCATGCGCATTTTTCTCAAACACAAGGCCATGCTCGACTCGAGTCGCAAGTCGTTGAAAAACCGACAACGGCGAATTGTGGAAAAGGCGTACCGCACGGGCCTGTTGGTGTGCCAGTCGTAGACGTCCGGTGGTCCCGATAATTTAATATTTAAGCTTCACGTCGTCGACGGAGGCAGCCATCACATGCCGTGGGTTCGTGTGTCTCTTGCCAACCATTTCACTCGCGGCGCCGGCTACTCGGTCTGAGCATGCGCCGTGCACATGTTGAACGTGGTGATGTGTCTTCGCCTTGTTGTGGCTTCTTCGTCGCTCACCTGCCCCCCATATGGAGTTGCGCCGAGTGGGACGTCGTTCCGCCCAATCTCACGCCGGAATCGAGGCGGTCGTCCTGCAGCCGCGAAATCCTACTGCCCCTAGCCACCGCTCAGTCGTAGGGCCACCCGCCGCCACCCGCTGCAGGGAAGCAGGTCCATGAGCATCCGGAGCAACAACGCCCGCCACCATGTGGCATTCCCTTGCCCCCATGTGTTCAGCAACCTCCACATTCCTCCCACTACCTGATGGATGAAAACTGCATGCTGCGCACTACGCTAGGACGCGCGCGACCGCCGCCGACACATCGCGCGTCGGACGGCATTCGCCACGGCGTCGTTCTCGATGGTTCTCGCGCCATGTCTTGGTTTGACGAGATGGCGCGCACCCGACCCCCCTCGCATGTCCTGCACGTCGTTGTAATTTGTCGAGTCTCGCTGGTGGCACGTTGACCGAACAGTTGACACGTGGAGCCGTAAACAGACCATGGAGTGGATGGCTCGTCAAGTCCGTGAGACGAGCGACCGTTCTCCACGAGCGCAAGCTGAATCGTTTTAATCGGCAGATGCGGCGGGGTTGCCGCCGCCGACGTGTTCAGGATCGTTTACTGCAGGTGGCGGCCAAAGGACAACGCTACCGCCACAACATTCTTTGCTGGCTTGCCGACGAACGAGGGAAGCGCGTACGTCAGAAAGAGTTGCTGGAGCGAGCGTCCTCCCATGCGTCCAAAGGATGTCGCGAGGTTTGTGCTGGGGTGGGGACGAGGGGGTGCGGGGACGTTGAGGCTGTGCATTGTACAGGCAAAACGAGCCATGCCGCGAAATCCGCGCAGACTATCGTCATGTGCACCGCGCATGACTGACCCGTGGGTCACCATCACGCCACCGACGACGCATGCTAAGGTGCGCGGACGAGACCCACGTCCGCCTCACCGCTGCCACCATGGCGAGATCGAAATGAACGACCGCACGGGAAAAGATGCGACGCGCGCGTTTCTTCCTGTTGTATCTGTTATGAGACCACACAGTCCTCTTTCGTGCTTCGTTTGGCGGATGCCGCCGACATGTTGACTCGGCGCTGCATCTCGAGCCGTTCCTGCATCGCGGTCAGCACGGCCTGGCGGTCGTCCAGCTCAGTCGTCAACGCCCGCAGCTCGCCCTCCTGCTTGGTCTTGAGCTGGCGAATATCGTGAATCGTGTGGGCTTTGAGCTCGGCGGCCGCATCGTCGCAGTCCTCGACGACGCGGCGCACGTGGGCTTGGCACGTCTGCTCCATCTTGAACACCGCCGTCAAGTGTTCCGACTGTTGGTCGCCGAGCGCGCGTTCGAGATCCACGACCTTCTGAAGCAGTTGGTGGTGTCCGTGGAGTAATTCTTGTTCCTTGGCGTGCTGACGGCGCTCGTTTTCGAGGCGTTGTTTGGCCGTGTCCTGGGCAACGCTGTCCTGCTCGCGCCGCACGGCATCCACCAGGGCATCCGCCGCCTTGAGCTCTTCCTTGGCTACCTTGAGCTCGTCGTTCAACCGGTCCAGCACCTCTGTGTGCAGCGCCCCGATCCGGTCGATTTGCATCAACGTCCGCTTGATCTCGCCGTCTTTGTGGTCAATGTCTGCGCGCAGCGCCAGTTTCTCTTCTTGCAGGCGGTCCGTGATTGCTTGCAGCGCCCGTTCAAACGTGTCCTTTTGCTGTTGCAACATTTCCTGGGCCGCTTTCGCCCGCCCCTCGATCGCTTTGACCTTTTGCCGCGAGGTCGAGATCGCTTTCTACAACCACGCAACGTGATGACTCTGCCGACAGCCACCGACAGTACCTGCATCGCGCTGTCTTGCTGGCGAAAGAGCACCGTCACCAACGTCCCCCAGTTCACAACGCCATCCATTACCTGCAGCAACACGTCGGGGTCAACCAGTGTGGACCATCCAAAGAAACACGATGCACAGGCATTCCCAGCAGATGCATCCACGCGTTTAAAGCCCCCGATCGAGTTCTGGACAAAGTGGTGGCCCGGCAGGAGCATCATGACGCCCACCAAGTTCAGGAACAAGTCCCAAACAATCCGTTGGCCGGCACCACTGTCGTCAAGAGGACCCGCGATCGACAGCCCTGGCAATTCAATCGAGTCCCACACGACCGCGGCATGAAGCGACTCTCGTGGGAAACCGAAGCCACCTCCATCATCACCTGCCACGTTGACCAGTTCGGCCCATTGTCCATGCGATCCCGCAGCAATGCAGCACACACACGCACACTTCAGGCATTCCCGCGAGACCAAACATCGACACCAACACACAATGCGGACGCGATGTGGCATACGCTACCTTTTCCGCGAGAAACGAGCACAACATCGAGTGCTGTAGCGGCATCCCGCCGGTGCGTTCAAGGTAGCTCGTGATGAATCGCTTGAGCAACGTGTCGAACCCGTCGAGTTTCTTGCGGAGGGCGTCGACGACTTGGTCGAACGTGGCATCTTTGTCGAGTGGCTGCCATGCCTGTGCCGTAATCGGTGCGTACAGTTCCTGGAGAACCGTGATGAGGTGCTGCTTGGCGAGTTTGTCATTCAAGTCCCACGCGGCGCGGAGTTTGGTCGCGACGTAATCGTGGAGCAATGGCAAGTTGATGGGGACAGTGTCGGGGGCGACCGCCGTCGCGTGCAACGACTCGACGGCGGCGGCTTGCGCGGCTCGGAATTGGTCAAGCAATGCCGCCTCGGTGAGGACGGACGTCCACTTGAGCGGGAATTTTGTTTCAAACGTGCGCTTTGCGGCGTCGAGCAATTCTTCGGCTACAAAGTTCACAATCGGTTATTCACGGGCCCCAACCATATTGGACAGACATTGAGCTTGCACGACGCGGTCCCAGGCCGACGAGATGACCGGTGCCGCGCCGCTATTGAACGCATCCACGTAATTTTGAGCTAGCGTGACCAGCATGGCGCCATTGAGCGGCTTCGCCATGAGCTTCTTTGGCTGGAGATCGGAAAACACGCGTTGCTTGAGCATGGTTAGCTGCGTGCGAAATTCCTCGCGCAACGATTCAAAAGGTTGTTTTGGGAGCTCGCGCAGCAGCGCTTCGTCGTTGAGCGGTCGAACCATCGTGATGCAGTCGCGGGCAGGGAAGAAGTTGCTGAGTAAGTTGCGGACTTGGTTCTTGTGCACCGTGTCGTCGGACGTGCCGGGTTGGGGCTTCAGCGCCTTCTCCAAGTACTCTTTGGACGAGATCGCATGGCCGTTTTCCTCGAGTTGCAACGTAAAGTCACGAACGACCCAGAGAAACGACGGGAAAAAGTCTGCAAGCGCGCTCGAGTTGGCGGGTTGGTCCAACGACGCTGCCGACACATGGATGTACTTGGTCAAGTTCACGACAAGCGACAAGTCCTCGATTGCATTTGCATCGATCACGCCTCGGGAATTGTAGATGAAAAACGAAGACAAGAGCAGCGCGAGCGCGAAAATGCGAGTGTCTTGTGTCTGGCTGCGCTGGGCGGACCCGAGACCTTCCGTGTCCATGAACACGATCGTCTTCCTCGTACTACCGTCCACGGGTTGACCCCATATCCAAATACCCTTTGTCATGGCGTTCACAGTACCACCGACGCCAAACATGGTGTGTTCCGTCGTGCGGCCGAGCAGTTGGTTGAGCAAGTACGACTTGCCCGTGCGGTACAGCCCTGCAATCGCCACGATGCTCACCTCTCCTTCCAGCGAGCGAAGGTACTCGGCAGCATCACGCGAGATCTCGAAGCAGTCATCGTCCGTGAGCGTGATGAAGGGTAGGGGCTCCGTCAGTTCCATTCCTGTCGTCGTCTGTCGATCAGCACGCACTCTAGAATCCGGATAAAGGCCACTCTCCGAATAATCCCATGGACAATTCGCGTCTACGACTTCGACTTTTTTCCAATATGCGAATGTTTTCTAAAATACTTTTCTAAACGTACTCCTAGTATTGGGCCAATTTGCACGATTGAATGGCAAGAAGTTCTCCGCGAACACGACTCGCGGTACACAGGCCAATCCCGCACATTGGACTCGATCAAGAGAAAGTTTTCAAACTTCTATCGGAATCGTATTCCAACTGGAAACCCAACGATTCCTCCTGAAGTGCTCAAGGCGAAACGTATACGATACAAAATGACGGAACGAGCAGACATTGGCGATGGTACGGAGACGTTCACTATGCCATCAAGCGACGAAGAGGACGAAAACGATGGCGATGACAATAAAAACATCGACCAAGCCGAAGAAAGCCAAGTGGAATAAATCTTAAAAATATTTTTGCCAAACAAGCAATTGTAATGATCGCAATGATTTTGGCAGTACTTCGTCATATCCACGACCATTGGTCTCGAAACGTTTGAAGCCGTCCTCGACGGATCACACTTTGTCGATGGTGCGGTTAATGGAATTGCAGCT